ATGAAGTTAGAAGACAACCAGTCACTACCGCGTGTGCTTTGGCGTCTGCAACGCCTTGGTGAGGTCCTCGTGCGATAAGCGACTTCCTGTGCGCAGTGTTTTTTGTTTTACGTGATGGGGGTGTGGATTTGCCATTGGTTTAGTGATTTGAGTTGGTTTCTCCCCCTGGCATGACCTGTAACCGCGGTTAAGGATTTTTTTCTGTCCATAGCAAGATTCTTTCTTATCGTTCCTAGTTGCCGCGTACCTGCTACGTCCCAGAGTGTGCAGTGGGAGTGCTCTGCCTTAGTCCTGGCCACAGTTGTTTGCGCCTCGTGGTTTCTTGTGCCAATGGTATCGCAGAGTATCTATGATCTGGAGTGAGTAAAGGTGGCGATCTACAGTGTTGACAGCGACTGCGGTGGCATAACCTGGGGATGCTTGGAGCGGACGTGGAAGTGGTGAAAGCTGCATTAAGGTGGTGCCAGCTATGGCTATCTGTTCTAGCCCATGGGAAACCGCGGGTTGGGCTCTATTTTGGGGGATTTTTTAGGGGACTGGTGTTGGAACCCATTCTGTTTTCAGTGAGTGGTTTTTAACGAGGAGTGTGTATGTGCGGGGATGGTCGGTCAGACTAGTAGGGTCATAGGTATAAAAAGTATGTGTTTGCTACTGTTTAGTATGATTGCTACCTGCGTTTTCGACTCTACGTGGTAACGTGCATCAATTCATATTGCGTTGAGGGCGGTTATCTCTGCTTTCCATGTGTATCAGTCCGCGTGGCGGGTTTTTCGGTTGATAGAAGCTCGAAAGGCATAGTGACGAATTGGCTCATGATCAGAAGTATGGTTCTGCACGATCCTAGGGATTATCCTGAGTGGGAGGCGAATTGTATTCGTTAACACGTGCGACACAGACAGGGCAGGGGTTGGTATTTTTTTTCGGCCTAAGTCTGGTATATCTAAGTTTAGCTATGGATGTGATTACCACATGTGAAGGTGAGGTTCATGGAAAGACGGTTGAGATCCAGGAACTTCGTCATCGCTGGGGCGATGGTGGTGAAAGGGATTTTAGATATAGCCTGCGAGTCTCACGTACTGTTCGCCATTATCGTGTAACAGCGGATGGGCGGTTGGTTCGAAAGCTGTGTGTGGGACTAGGGTATTGGGATGATTTGCTTTGCGAAGTGACATGCGCTTTGTACCGTTCGTTTTGAAAGATTTGAGCATTGGCTTGTGCATTTCTTGTAATCAATAACTGATGGCTTAGTCATTCTTTGTGTGAATGATCTCATCGCTTTTTGCAAAATTTTC